ACAATGGCAGTTAGTTTGTAAAATAGAAAAATACTATGTAACTATGTCATTTAGTTTGCTAAATCACTTTCGTTCGAAAATCGGACCTAAGAATAATCAGCCGATTTTCACTCTGTTAGTGGGGCAATGGCACCGGGCGATATTCATGGTTTTTCCTTATTTCATTTATCGGGCATGCTGGAAATTTTTTGAAAAATGGCCGATTTTCTAAATCATTGGTGGCCCCATCGGATTACAAAACAAACAATGTTTTCAGTTTTCGATCAAAAAATTGTTAGGAATTCCAACTCCAATCGCATGGAAACCAATCAGCTTCCAGGTTTTATTGTTAAAGCTCCGAACTGAGGTTAGATGCTGATTGGCTGCCATGCATGGCTGCACCGGATTCTGAGTGAACCAGCTTTAGTAAATCTCCCCCCTGAGTGTGTCAAACAACTGCCATTTCTTACCATTTTTTGAATATATACCATTTTTGCAAACCAAATTGACCCCGACTAACAGTTCACGTTAAAAGCAGAGGATTTTTTTTTTGCACACATTTGCAAATCTATGCGTAAGCTGCAGTGTCCACGTCAAGGCACCCCTGTGTACTGCGGTCCTAACGATCATTTTCAGAGTCTCCCAGGTTGGAGCTCATACAGTCACGGCCAAAAACATTGTCCGCCCGCCCTGCATTTTTTAGATATTGAAGCACTTCACCCAGAAAACTGTTGCAATGACAAATGTTTTGGCGTTCTCATGGTTATTTCTTTGGTTTGTATTGGACACAAAAAAGTGGAGAAACAAAAAGCCAAATCTGACACATTCCACCCAAAACCCCAAAAATAGAGTGGACAAAAATTATTGGCACCCTCAATGTAATATTTGGTAGCACACCCCCTAGAAAAAAATACCTGAAATCAATGGCTTCCTGGAACCATCAATGAGTTTCTTCAACCTCTCTACTGGGTCTCTCAGATTGGACGGGTTCCGTTTCCCAACTGCTGTACCAAGATCTCTCCACAGGAGCTCTTTGGGATGGAGATCTGGACTCATTGCTGGCCAGTTCAGTCCTCTCCAGCACTTGAAACCATTTCTGGGGGCTTCCTAAGGTGCACTTTGGGTCATTGTCCTGCTGGAAGACCCATGACCTCTGACGGAGACCCATGACCTCTGACGGAGACCCATGACCTCTGACGGAGACCCAACTTTCTGACACCGGGCCCTACTCTGCCCACCAGAATTCTTTGGTGGTCTTCAGACTTCATAATGCCATGCACACGGTCAAGATATCCAGTGCCTGAAGGAGCAAAGCAACCCCAAACCATCAGTGACCCCCCTCCATGTGTGACTGGAGGGACTGGATTCTTTTCTTTAACCCCTTGTCTATCAGGCACCTTCACCCCCTTCCTGCCCAGGCCAAGTTTCAGCTTTCTGTGCGGTCACACTTTGAATGACAATTGCGCGGTCAGGCAACATTGTACCCAAACAAACGCTTTATCATTTTTTTGAGACAGATGGAGCTTTCTTTTGGTGGTATTTAATCACCTTGGGGTTTTTTATTTTATGCTAAACTAAAAAAGACTGAAAATTAAAAAAAAAAAAAAGGTTTTCTTAGTTTTTGTTATAAAAATTTTATAAATTATTCTCCACTGATTTGTACTACGGAGGCTGCAGTGATGGGCACTGATAAGGAGGCACTGATAGGCGTCAATACATCACTGATGGGCACTGAAAGGCAGCACTCATATATGGCACTGTTAGGTGGCACTAATTTAAACTGTTAGGCGGCACTAACACTGATAGAGGATACCCTGAGGAAGTCACGAGTAGCCTGTGACGTAACGTGTAGGTACGCTATCACGCAGCTTCCGGTGTGCGGTGATGCACTTCCGGCGCCAGCCGCCATCTTGGTATACCCAGGAAGATCCTATACATGCAGTACACCCACACATTGGTGAGGAAGGAAGACTTGAGTGGGTTTTTCTTTTGCTGGCAATAAACATTCTTGGTGAAATTAATACTACACTTAGAGGATTCTTTTTTTTGGGCTCACTGGGTTGGTGAGCGATTATTCCTCAGAAGCTTCCGGTCTGGGGCAATGGGAGTCCCCTAAGAGATCCACATCGTGAGGAGAGGTACCTGTCTTCAGGAATAGGGATCCAGGGTGATCCTGAAAGCTGTTTGGCCCCTGGGGGTCACTTGGAGGAGGTGAGGAGGCAATTTAGCCTTAGTAGGTGGACACGCTCACGGAGTACAAGCACTATCTGCACATTGCATGAATTTTATATCACCGATTGATTATTTCATGGACATTTTGTTTGATTATTTGAGTGGTATTCGAAGTGTGAACACTTTTTGCACTTCAACACTGTTTGAATATCCTCCTTTGAAGGGGGCTTGTAGCATTGCTTTATTGTGTGAACACTATTGCGAAGAGATTACTTTGAGTGGCACTATATATTCAAGATACAAAATGTTTTTTCCCATTTATTTATTTAATATAGTTAATATCTTTTGTATTATATAATATTGACACGTTTGTATGTGAGCACCTTTTTTTCTTGAATTTCACATAGTATTGATTTAAGTGCTGCACTATTTTTGATTACACTAACACTAATAGGCAGCACTGATAGCTGGCACTGAAAGGCAGCACTCATATATGGCACTGATAGGTGGCACTAATTGAAAACTGTTAGGTGGCACTGACTGGCACAGATAGTTGGCACTGAAAGGCAGCTCTTATGTGGCATTGATGGGCACTGGTATGCGGCACTGATGGGCACTGGTGTGCTGCACTGATGGGTACTGGTATGTGGCATTGATGGGCACTGATGGGCACTGGTATATGGCATTGATGTGCAACGGTATGCGGCATTGATGGGCACTGATGGGTACTGGTATGTGCCATTGATGGGCTCTGGTATGCGGCATTGATGGGCACTGGTATGTGGCATTGATGGGCACTGATGGGCACTTGGTATGTGGCATTGATGGGCACTGGTATGTGGCATTGATGGGCACTGGTGGGCACTGGAATGTGGCATTGATGGGCACTGGTATGTGGCATTGATGGGCACTGGTGGGCACTGGAATGTGGCATTGATGGGCACTGGTATGTGGCATTGATGGGCACTGGTATGCAGCATTGATGGGCACTGGTCTGTGGCATTGATGGGCACTGGTATGCGGCATTGATGGGCACTGGTCTATGGCATTGATGGGCACTGGTATGTGGCATTGATGGGCACTGGTGGGCACTGTCCAGTCACAGGCTGGGGGCTGGTCCGGGATGACCCGAGTTTAGAGGAAGTGATTGCCACTAGACGGAGGACATCTAGTGGCACTAAAAAGTACTGCGTTGAAAATTTCTGCATTGAAGCTCGATATTGCAGCAAAATCTGGTTTTTATTTTATCCTTTAATGGACTATTGATTTTTATTTCATTTTTGGCTGGCTGCAGTTCTTTACAAATGTTTTTAAGGTGTTTCTCTGTACAGTCAGTAATTATAGCTGTATACAGAGGCAGCTATTTTGGCCCATTACATACGTGGGCTCTGTTTCCAGTTTGCACCTTGCTGATGCTTTTATCTCCCAGCAGGGTCTGCCTCATTGTTGTCGCTAGTTATGGGGCATTTGTACGATTGGGAGTTTTCATGTACTGTATATGTGCCGATGCATGGACAGACACCGTATTGGTAAAAAGCTTGAACTGCACACATTATAACTAGGGGTGAACTAAAATTTCGGTGGCTGAAACGTTTCGGCCGAAAACACCCCTATCACCCTTCCGACGATATGAAAAAAAATACAGGCGTCAAAAAAAACCCCCATCCCCTTGCTGCTGCCGCCACTAAACGATCCTGGCGCTGGGCGTAGAGATTAATGAAGGAAACATGGCCTCCACTCATCTCTATCCCCTTGGAGGACCGCAGCGATGTCACTTCATTTTTTTTTTTTTTTTCAAAAGCACTAGATCAATGATTTTTTTTATTTAATGCTTTACATTGTAGAGGAGAGATGTGGGGTCTTCTTGACCCCATATCTCTCCATAAAGAGGACCTGTCACTTATTCTATCACATGGCATGCATTCCTTGTGATAGGAATTAAAGTGATTACTTTTTTTTTTTTTAATGTCGCAATTTTAAAAGTGTGACATGTTAGGTATCTCTTTACTCGGCGTAACATCCTCTTTCATATTTTACAAAAAAAAATCAGTGTATATATTGTGGGAGGTTTTCTGGGTTTTTTAATCAAAGTGTATTTTTTTCCAAAAAATATATATTAATTTTTATTTATATTGTATATTGTAAAAATTTGTATATTTATATTGTAAAGCACTGAGCAAACTTTTAGTGCTATATAAATCCTGTATAATAATAATAATAATAATAATTTTTTAAAATTGCCCATTTCGGTTTTTGGCCCAGTGCATCCTGAATTTTCGGTTTCGTTACCAGATTTTTCATTTCGGTGCACCACCAATTATAACAGGACTGATGGAACAAAATCTTCCTCTGCTGATTCTGTTCAAGAGACACATTCAAACGATAGCTTTTAAATATAGCCTTAAGCTGGCCACACACTAGTAGATTTCCTAACAAATGTTCGTACGGATATTCCCATCAGTACGTTCAATGACATGACAATTGCCTTTTATACAGTACTTTAAAAAACTCTGCTATGAACATTCGATTTTTGAGTGACTAGACTTTCCCCAATCAAAAAATAAAATCCACTGTTAGAAATTCGTTTGAGAAAATCTTTCCATCATGCTCCTTTGACCCCACATTCACTATATCTGGTCTCCCCGGACCCCACATTCACTATATCCGCTCTCCCCGGACCCCGCATTCACTATATCCGGTCTCCCCGAACCCCGCATTCACTATATCCGGTCACCCCGGACCCCGCATTCACTATATCCGGTCACCCCGGACCCCTCATTCACTATATCCGGTCTCCCCGGACCCCGCATTCACTATATCCGGTCTCCCCGGACCCCGCATTCACTATATCCGGTCACCCCGGACCCCACATTCACTATATCTGGTCTCCCCGGACCCCACATTCACTATATCCGCTCTCCCCGGACCCCGCATTCACTATATCCGGTCACCCCGGACCCCGCATTCACTATATCCGGTCTCCCCAGACCCCACATTCACTACATCCGCTCTCCCCGGACCCCGCATTCACTATATCCGGTCTCCCCGGACCCTGCATTCACTATATCCACTCTCCCCGGACCCCGCATTCACTATATCTACTCTCCCGGACCCCGCATTCACTATATCTGCTCTCCCTGGACCCCGCATTCACTATATCTGGTCTCCCTGGACCCTGCATTCACTATATCCGGTCTCCCCGGACCCTGCATTCAAAATATCCGGTCTCCCCGGACCCTGCATTCACTATATCCGCTCTCCCTGGACCCTACATTCACTATATCCGCTCTCCCGGACCCTGCATTCACTATATCAGCTCTCCCCGGACTCCGCATTCACTATATCCGCTCTCCCTGGACCCTGCATTCACTATATCCGCTCTCCCCGGACCCTGCATTCACTATATCTGGTCTCCCCGGACCCTGCATTCACTATATCCGCTCTCCCCGGACTCCGCATTCACTATATCCGCTCTCCCTGGACCCTGCATTCACTATATCCGCTCTCCCCGGACCCTGCATTCACTATATCCGCTCTCCCCGGACCCCGCATTCACTATATCCGGTCACCCAGGACCCTGCATTCACTATATCCGCTCTCCCCGGACCCCGCATTCACTATATCCGCTCTCCCCGGACCCCGCATTCACTATATCCGCTCTCCCTGGACCCCGCATTCACTATATCCGGTCTCCCCGGACCCTGCATTCACTATATCCACTCTCCCGGGATTCTGCATTCACTATATCTGGTCTACCCGGACCATAGATTCACTATAGCCGGTCTCCCTGGACCCTGCATTCACTATATCCACTCTCCCGGGACCCTGCATTCACTATATCTGGTCTACCCGGACCATAGATTCAATATAGCCGGTCTCCCCGGACCCTGCATTCACCATATCCGCTCTCCCCAAACCCTGCATTCACTATATCCGCTCTCCCCAGACCCTGCATTAACTATATCCGCTCTCCCCGGACCCTGCATTTACTATATCCTCTCTCCCCGGACCCCGCATTCACTGTATCTGATCTCCCCGGACCCCGCATTCACTATATCTGCTCTCCCCGGACCCCGCATTCACTATATCCGGTCTCTCCGGACCCTGCATTCACTATATCTGGTCTCCCACAGTACACAGAACATGGAAATGCACTTATTTTAGTAAATATAAATGGCTAAATACCATTTCTCATCAGCAGTATATAGCAGTTTTGTGACTTCTATCAGTGTCCAGCTGAGCACTGGTTAAAGCTTGTAGGAGGAGTTTTCATTCTGCTAGAGGAGGATGCAGAACCCCTGACTTCTGTCTGGACAGTGCTGATTGACCCTGTGCTGGTCCCATGCACATATGGCCACTCTGGAAACGTAGGCAGAATTGTGTGTTCCCACCTGCATTTTTAGAAACATGGCAAAACAGGCAACACGCTGTAATGGCAGATAAGAGGCATGCGGATTAGGACTAACCCCCCCACATACCAATACTCATCAATGCCACGGGTCACATCAAGCCCGACTTTGAAATCGTGCGACTTACAGTGACAAATCTCACCAAAAGTAGCACATGGACTACTTCTGAAATTGGTGCGGATCCAACCAAGTCAGAACTGAGCCGAAATGACCGCTGTAATTGCAGACAATTGGGTGCGACTTGGCATACGATTTGCAAATCTCACCCGATGTGACCGTGTGTTAAAGTGTATGTAAACCCAAGAACAAAAATGTAATACACTATATTGCCAAAAGTATTGGCCCCGCCCTCCCAATCATGTGATTCAGGTGCTCCAATCCACTCCCAATTATGTGATTCAGGTGTTCCAATCCCCTCCATGGACACAGGTGTATACAATCAAGCCCCTAGGCATGCAGACGGCTTCTACAAACATTGGTGAAAGAATGGGTCGCTCTCAGGAGCTCAGTGACTCCAAGCGTGGATCCGTGATAGGTGGCCACCTGGGCAATAAGTCCATCCGTGACATTTCCTGGCTACTAAATATTCCACGCTCAACTGTTAGTGGAATTATAACAAAGTGGAAGCAACTGGGAACAACAGCCACTCAGCCACCAAGTGGTAGGCCACGTCACATGACAGAGCGGGGTCAGGGCATGCTGAAGCGCACAGTGCGCAGAAGTCACCAACTGTCTGCAGAGTCAATAGCTAAAGACCTCCAAACTTGGTGTGGCCTTCAGATGAGCCCAACAACAGTGTGTAGAGAGCTTCATGGAATGGGTTTCCATGGCCGAGCAGCTGCATCCAAGCCTTACATCACCAAGTGCAATGCTAAGCGTCAGGTGCCATGGTGTAAAGCACGCCGCCACTGGACTCTAGAGCAGTGGAGATGTGTTCTCTGGAGTGACCAATCACGCTTCTCTGTCTGGCAATCCGATGGACGTGTCTGGGTTTGGCGGTTGCCAGGAGAACGGTAATTACCTGACTGCATTGTGCCAAGTGTAAAGTTTGGTGGAGGGGGGATTATGGTGTGGGGTTGTTCTTCAGGTGTTGGGCTTGGCCCCCTAGTTCCAGTGAAGGGAACTCTTAAGGCGACATTTTGGACAATTTCATGCTCCCAGCTTTGTGGGAGGAGTTTGGGGATGTCCCCTTCCTGTTCCAACATGACTGCACATCAGTGCACAAAGCAAGGTCCATAAAGACATGGAGGAGCCAGTTTGGGGTGGAGGAACTTGACTGGCCTGCACAGAGTCCTGACCTCAACCCCATAGAACACCTTTGGGATGAATTAGAGCGGAGACTGCGAGCCAGGCCTCCTCCCCCGACATCAGTGCCTGACCTGACAAATGTGCTTCTGGAAGAATGGTCCAACCTTCCCATAGACACCCTCCTAAACCTTGTGGACGGCCTTCCCAGAAGAGTTGAAGCTGTTATAGCTGCAAAGGGCGGGGCCAACTCAATATGCTTCTAGCGCAACAACCGAGCTTCTTGGTCTCTAATTTAGATCAGGAGCCGGCGAGACGGGCTTCAAATCAAGTGATCACCATGACAGCCAATCACAGTGGTCCTGCGATCGGAAAGGCCATCTGATCCATTAAAAAGGAAGAAAAAAAAAAAAAAGGGACACAGAGGCTGGGCAGGAAGGGGTTAAAGACACGGCGGCAAACGGGCACAAAATAACCCATGCTCGCGTCTCCACGCGAATGAACAGCACAACATGTGTGGCCTCAACACTCAACAGTGACCGCTTCCTACTGCAACATTCCCAGAATGGCGCCATTCATTTTTAATACAACTCACCCCAAATGGGACGCACAGGTGTGAAACTAGATGGGGGGGGGGTTCAAGTGGTGTACCCTTTTAAAACTAAATATATATGGAAGGGAGAGAAGGAAGGATGGAAGGAAAAAAAGAAGGATGGAAGGAAAAAAGGAAGGAAGGAAGGAAGGAAGGAAGGAAGGAAGGAAAAAAGGAAGGAAGGAAAAAAGGAAGGAAGGAAAACAGGAAGGTAGGATGGAAGGAAAAAAGGATAGAAGGAAAAAAGGAAAAAAGGAAGGAAGGAAAAAAGGAAGGAAGGATGGAAGGAAAAAAGAAAGGAAGGATGGAAGCAAAAGAAGGAAGGAAAAAAGGAAGGAAGGATGGAAGGAAAAAAGGAAAGAAGGAAGGAAGGATGGAAAGAAAAAAGGATGGAAGGAAAAAAGGAAGGTAGGATGGAAGGAAAAAAGTAAGGAAGGATGGAAGGAAGGAAAAGAAGGAAGGAAAAAAGGAAGGAAGGATGGAAGGAAAAAAGGAAGGAAGGATGGAAGGAAAAAAGGAAAGAAGGAAGGAAGGATGGAAGGAAAAAAGGAAGGAAGGAAAAAAGGAAGGAAGGAAAAAAGGAAGGAAGGATGGAAGGAAAAAAGGAAGGAAGGATGGAAGGAAAAAAGGAAAGAAGGAAGGAAGGATGGAAGGAAAAAAGGAAGGAAGGATGGAAGGAAAAAAGGAAAAAGGAAGGAAGGAAAAAAGGAAGGAAGGATGGAAGGAAAAAAGGAAGTAAGGAAGGAAGGAAAAAAGGAAGTAAGGAAGTAAGGATGGAAGGAAAAAAGGAAGGAAGGAAAAAAGGAAGGAAGAAAAAGAAAGAAAGAAAGAAAGAAAGAAAGAAAGAAGGAAGGAAGGGAAAGGAAACGAAAGGAAAGGGAAAGGAAAAGAAAGAAAGAAGGAAAAAAGGAAAGAAAGAGCACCCCAACTGGGAAGCACAGGTGTGAACCTAGATGGGGGGGGGGTTATTTTAAAAAATTTTTTTCAAGTGGTGTACCCCTTTAAAACTAAATATATATATATTTAAATTAAAAAAAGAAAGAAAGGACGGCGGACGTTAAATTGTAAAGCGCGGACTGCGTCAGCGGCGACGTTAGAAGGGTTAATGTATATGTATAATTATGTTGATAGTGCTTGACATGAGGCAAACAGGAGCGGGATGCGGTGGGCCAGCGGTCGCCATGGAAACAGAAAGCTTTCGCTGCCTCGCTGGGAGACGTACTTAGTGTAATCATATACATAAAAACAACATCATTTTTTCCCCCTGTTTTGATAATAGAGACAGCTCCGCCGGGGATACAAAAGAACATTTTTTTCCCCCCCTTTTAATTGGTAGGTTGCCTGCCTTTGTTCCCTCCGCCACATATTTTATTTTATATATATATTTTGCAGAGACGGATTTTGTGTAGCCAAGAGGGAAAAAAAAAAAAAAAGAGAGAAAAAGGAAAAAAAAAAAAAAAAGGGAGGAAGAAGAGCCCTCCGGAGCGTTTTTTTGTCGTGCGGTGCGATGCGCGTCGGCGCTGTTGGCTTGTTTATTCCTTTTGGTGTTTTTTTTTTCTTTAAAGAACTCTGCAGCAAACCTGGCTGAATAGCATGGCCCCCGATGTCGTGTCAGGAAGATAACGTTCCTTCGTCAGGGGTTATTAATCGACAAGTAAACAGTCGGGTTTATAAAAGTGCACCCGTTTTTTGCACCCGTATTTGCACCCGTGTGGATGCCGGGCTGCGCCTCAAACACGCGGACTTGGGTCGTGACCCTCCCAACTATCGCTGGTAAAAGGTTATAAAAGGAGATTGGCACAGTCGGGGAACTGATCCAGGTTGACCTTTGGTCAGGTGATGCCCCTGGCCAGAAAGGTACCATATTACCAGCAGTGAGACAATGAGAGTGCCGTGTTATCAGTCGGAGGAGTTCCATGTACAATGAGAGTGCCGTATTATCAGTCGGAGGAGTTCCATGTACAATGAGAGTGCCACGTTAGTAGTCGGAGGAGTTCCATGTACAATGATGAGTGCCGTGTTATCAGTCGGAGGAGTTCCATGTACAATGAGAGTGCCGTATTATCAGTCGGAGGAGTTCCATGTACAATGAGAGTGCCGTATTATCAGTCGGAGGAGTTCCATGTACAATGAGAGTGCCGTATTATCAGTTGGAGGAGTTCCATATACAATGAGAGTGTCGTGTTAGTAGTTGGAGGAGTTTCATTAACAATGAGAGTGCCATGTTAGTAGTTGGAGGAGTTCCATGTACAATGAGAATGCCGTGTTATCAGTCAGAGGAGTTCCATGTACAATGAGAGTGCTGTGTTATCAGTCGGAGGAGTTCCATGTACAATGAGAGTGCCGTGTTATCAGTCGGAGGAGTTCCATGTACAATGAGAGTGCCGCATTAGTAGTCGGAGGAGTTCCATGTATCA